CTGGGATTACAGGTGTGCACCACAACCCCTAGCTACAGAATTTTTTTACTTTTAAACGATTCCATGGGACTATGCAAAAGGACACAGGATAGATAGCATCTGCATTTAAGGGATTTATATTTCCATTTCTAAGTTTAAATTTGGGTCACAGATAAGGACTGTCTGTGTCACACGCCTTTACATTAAGTTCAAGTTTACAAGGTGCATGTACCGTTTTCACATTAACTTCCCCTTGAAGAGAAAGTCAAACCATAGCAACTCATAACCCGAAGTGAGGCCTACCTTTGTTCTTTTTGCATTAATTTAAACAAACAGGTTTTTCAGCCTCCTCACTGAACAAGAGACCATTTGTAAATTTTCCAGACACTTCAAAGTGAACCTCTCTGCATTTTCAGCTTCAGCCTGTTAGTGTTCATAATCCTTTGCAATAACTTCCTCAATGTAATATGATACTTCGTTGATGTGGCAAAAAGTGTTCGTCTATTTCTGCTGTTGCTTTGAAAATATTATTTCTGCACTGAACCGCATCAGATATCTTTTTAAATGGTCTCGCTTTCTTCACTTCTTCACCTATAGCTTTTTGAAGCCGACGTCTAATAAAGCAGTAAGCCCAGGGAAATGTCAGGGTGGTGGTGGGATTCATGCATAGATTTAGCGTTTCTGTTCTCTCTCCCCTCTGACTCAGGATTACTGCGCCAGTAAATTCGGAGTTGTGGGTTTTCATGAATCGCTGAGCCACGAGCTAAAGGCTGCTGAAAAAGATGGAATTAAAACAACTCTGGTGTGCCCTTACCTTGTAGACACTGGCATGTTCAGAGGCTGCCGGATCAGGTCAGTGGGAACCTGTGCTGTTACTGATAAAAGGATAACACTAGGGGCTGGGGATGTAGCTCAGAGGCGCAAGCGCCTGCCTGGCAAGGGCAAGGTCCTGAGTTCAATTCCTGCTACCAAACCAACAAATGAAAAAGAATAACACTGGGAGAATGAGTGAAATTGGCCCTCACGCAGTTGCTCTTGCGCTTTAACAGCCAGTTAACCTGTAGTTTTCATTGGGCAAGGCCTGAAAGCTTTGTAAACTGGTATATAAGCCTGACAGGCAAGGGACTGGTGCCGCGCTGATGTTAACTTGCAGAAATTAATGCACAAGCACCAGACAGAAAACAACTTCTCTATACCTTCAAGGAGAATAATTTAACAGAATTTTTTCCAGGTGTGGTGGCACACACCTATAATCCCAGCACTCGGGAGGCTGAGGCAGGAGGATCATTGCAAGTTCCAGACCAGCCTGGGCTACAAAGTGAGCTCAAGGCCAGCCTGAACTGCATAGCGAGACTCTGTCTCAAAAAGACCAAAAAAAAAAAGAATTTATGTTGATAAGTAAGTGTCCCAGAAGCAAAGTCCTTAATGTTTTGACTCTGGTTTGCATGTGAAACAATGTCGCAGTTACAGAGGAGTAACAGATCTTTTTTCTAAAAAGTCTGTGAATGTTACACTCCAGATTTGGAAACTTCTGTTTTGTAGCAGGTGCATATAGCTAGACTCATTCTGACAGAATGAGAAAAACCATTTCGAATTACTAAAAATGAAATAAAATACACACTTGAAAGGAGGAAAATGGGAATATAAATGTCAAGTTACAGTTGACTTGAGCTCAGCGGGATAAACACAAGCATGAGTCATTACGAGGGCGCCCGCAGAGACATGCCTGCTTTGAGGTCCTTGCGTGGGGGCCTTTGCAGCGTGGAGGAAGATACCCCAACGAGCGCCCAGCACCTGGCTGGTTTCAGGCCATTCTTACACATACTGAGCCAGACAAGGAGGAAAGGAGGCGGAGGGTGATTTGAGTCCTTCAGATTGCAGGCGGACCCTGAGTCTGAACTGAGAAATGAGCCCAGGGGGTTGGGGTGGGGTGCAGTGTAGAGCCTGTGTAAAACACAGGGCTCAGTCCAGCACCAAAGAAGAAAGAAATGAGCCCTAGCCTGCATCTTGTCCTCTACACGTGTGTGCACGCACGCCTCTGGGTCTGTGTTGGGTGGGTCTTTCCCTCCTACCTACCTGGCAACCCACCGCCAAGGGTTTTGAGGAGCCACTTCCTGTTTCACACAGTGGCAGGTGCAGGTACTCGAAGCTGTGACGGGGCGGTGAGGAGTAAAAGCACCAAACCGTGTGATAACTGCAGTGTGTCCCTTAATGAACCAGCCCGAAGGGCGTGTCCGCGCGCCCTGCACTGCGGAGGCCCCTGGGGAGTATGCCCTCGCCTCGCGTAGTCTGCGGCCTGGAAAGTGCAGAGCTGTTACCGCGCTCAGAAGTCAGGCCCGTGTTAACACCTCACTGTAACTACACCTGATCTGGAAGGGTTGCTTCTTGCTTGGATTTAGTGTTTGCTATGCCAAACACCTCCCTTTTTTCTTTTCTTTTTGTCAAAAGAAAAATATAGAAAAACAATTGGAAATACATGTTACAGCATCTTAAAAACACAAGTTTCTCATTTTTACAGAAAAGCAGGCCGGTGTTCTCCTGTTTTTTCCTAACTTGTTTTCCAGATTAAGCCAATAACATGTGTACACAGGAAGGGCACTTGGGAGAAACATAGGAAAGCACCGTAAAGGACACAAAGCACGCAAAGTCCTGCGGCTCCGACAGTGTCACAGTTAGGGCTTTGATGCGTATTTTCGGTCTTCCCTATTGTACTCTTACTTTCGTTTTTGCACACACAAAACTTCCAGGAAAGAAATCGAGCCCTTTCTGCCCCCTCTGAAGCCTGATTACTGTGTGAAGCAGGCCATGAAGGCCATCCTCACGGACCAGCCCATGATCTGCACCCCCCGGCTCATGTACATCGTGACCTTCATGAAGAGGTAAGTGAGCTCCCTCGGGATCAGGTCTTTCCCTGCCTGCCCCGAGACCTTCACTCATGCAAGACTTGGATTTGCTAACTGTGACTTTTCTTTTTAGCATCCTTCCTTTCGAAGCAGTTGTGTGCATGTATCGGTTCCTGGGAGCAGACAAATGCATGTACCCCTTCATTGCTCAAAGAAAACAAGCCACAAACAATAATGAAGCAAAAAATGGAATCTAAGGATCTTTTTTTACGGAATATCGTTTTTATCAGAAGATGATCAAGATATCTCAGTCCAGTGCACATCAGCATTACTGACACTCTGGATTCTAACCCTATGTTGACTTTTTAAAAATCAGCTTTTTAAAATAATAAAGTGTAAATTAACTGACTAGAGTACTTGGGAAATGTGATCCGTAAAAGTGAGCGTAGGTTACTGCCAACGGGGTCCTTTTAGACAGGACCCTACAACCAATCCAGTCTTCAGACAAGCACTGTAAGACATCTTCGGGCTGTCATTTTCTAATGAGCAGAAAGTCTAGAAATGATAACTACAGTGTGTTTCATGTGTATGATTTTTCTCACCTCCCATATTCATTCTTGTTATTAAATTCTAGCCAACTGACATCCTTGCAGCTTCAAGGACCGGTAGAGCTCTATTTTCTCACGTTTTCTAAGTTCCAGTTTTGCAAAGCCTGTGCGGCTTTCTCGTGGTGTTTGTATGTTCAGCTGTTTTAAAAAGGAATTTTGAAGTCCCCATCAGTTTGAGGTAAACGATGTCGAGTGTCACAGTGAAGGTGATGAGGTCTCTTTCTTCAACTTAGAGTGACTAAAGTGTGAGCTGAGTTTTAAACTTCTCTGACAAACCATCGTTTGGAGACCGAGTCATCAGCCGAGATCACCCATTTCCTACCTATGAATTCTGCTTCGTACAGAAATTGCCCTTTCCTCGGGGAGCTGCTGCGCTCTGTGATGTGGGATGGACTCTTCTCCAGAGTACACAGCAGCTCTGCAAAGAAGTGGTTTCCAGTAATGGGAACTTCTACCCTGAAAAGGCCCCATTTTGTGCCAACTGTGATCAGTGAGGGGAAGAGAACCTTATTCTGTGGAGTACGTATGGAAGGGTGTAAAGATTCCTTTGAAAGGTTTATTCACATTAGAGAACAGCAGATGACATTTTTACAGTATTTTTTTGTAAAACAAACTATTTTGTGCCTTGAATTTGGTATATGTGTATTAGTGAAGCATTGTAAAAGTGAACTTCTACCTCTGTATCTAAATGTACACCATCCACTTGTAAATTACTACGAACTCTTATGTGATTGCTTTTTTTTTAGAATGTCTTGTTTCAATAGTGACCAATGTTAAAGGGTATTAAAATAAGCCAACTTTTACTAATTGGGACGTTTTATAAAGGACCAATTAAATTTAAAGACTTAACTTACACGCCACTGCCTGTGTGATTATTAGTTATCAGCAAGGTTGTAAGGAAACTTGTGCTCTTTTTCCCACACGCCATCTTCTGCTTTAGTTAAAAAGAAATGTTTGAGTAGGATAATATTTGGGAGCAGACCTAACGAGTTAGGGTATCACGCACTCAAATTTCCAGCACTCCCATTATCTAGGTTAAAGACTTTATCAAGGACTTGCCTAAAATAGCAAAACAGAGAGGATAGTATTACCTGTGTTAGCCTGACCGCGCCACAGATCAGCTCCGCACTGTATCTACAAGCGCGTTCAAGGAAAGCCCCACCTCACTGCTCATGTTCCTAGCTCAGGTCTCGGGGAAGAGCTTCCGCCCATGTTCAAAGTTGCCTTTATAAACGATCAGCAAGCCTGGAAGGCAGTGGAGGCACTGGCTGCCTCTGGAGTTCCAATTCAGATTTATAGAAGTACTTTGAAGTGGTGCCGTACCAGTGTGGGGTGAGGACAGTGACTTTCAGGTCATCCAAGCCTGTCTCCCAGCCAGCCCGGAGCACACAACAAACCGTCCTAGTAAACTCTGTTCTAATTTAAGGACCCATTTATCAACCTTAAAACTAAGTCTTAACGCTTCCTCTTATATTATCTGTTGGAGTCTTAAACCAATTTCTATTTTTTGTTTGTTATGCCCTTATAAGGTTGTCCATCTCTACGTTGAATAAATCTAATTCATTTAACATTTTCGTACAAGTCTTTTATTCCCATATCCCAGCCCAGTTGACTTCCGGAGCTCTCCCCTGAATGCTGTCCAAATGCTCCTTCCCATGTCTGGCCGCGGAGTTTAGAAAGGGGAACAGTTCATGCAAGTTTAGAGCTGCAGGATTCCTGCATGTTATCTTTCCCCTCCCGGTATCACATTTAGTACAGCGCTACTTTGCTGATTAGTGTATTTGTGTGCTGTTGTTTTTCCTGAACTTGAAATCTCTTCTAATCAGCCTCCCACACTTGTTTTGACCACTTGGTAATTTCGAGGTGGTTTCTCTGGCTGGTTGTTCAGCTGTACCTCGCCCCCCATACACAGACACACACACACCCTGACATTCATGTGGCTTTGAATATGTTCTTTGGCCTGTCATTTGATCCATTCACGTGGGGGTCCAGGGCCACTGGGCTCAAGCCTCGCCCCCTAGGGAGCACCACTTCTGCCCTCAGCCGGGACTGGTCCTGTCCCTCTCTCTAACATTTCAACCCGTTTAATTATAATCATATTGAGTGGGACCCAGGAATCAAAAGTTTCTAAGCCAGCAAAGATAAATTCCAACTATTGTTTTCCCCCTTGATCTACCAAGTCTGCTGCTGTGTCACAAAAGATTAGATTAGCTTGACAGGATTGAACTACATAAAGCCAGGCTCTGTGTGTGTGTGTGTGTGTGTGTGTGTGTGTAGTATCCTATTTCCTTGAAAGGTTATATCTTTCAAATTTTTCCCAAGTTAAAAAAAGGAAAATCAAGTTAAATCTCTTTTTCAAAGTTTTCTTTTCCAACTGGCAGAAATCATTCTAAGTTGATGTTGACCTGAATGTTGGAAATTCGCTTTTGCCTCCCACAAAGCACAAAATGAGCGGGGCTTGGGGGAGGGGCGTGGTTCCTTCCGCGCCGCGTTTACTGCCTGTGTCTGATTATAGGAAGAGGAGGGAGAGCGAGGCCGTTAAAGGCCAGCACTGCTGGGACTCGGGGCCAGGGAGCACAGGGTCAGCATTCGCCCTCCGGCGTCGGCGAGGCCTAAGAGCCTATGTTCAAGTAGCTTGAACTGAATCAGGTACAAATACACACACCTTTAAGGGCGCGCCCCACAAATGAAGGCTCAGTGTGTGCTAAGGTTTCCGCAAGGCGAGGAGGGGAGAAATGGCAGAAACCTGGAAGGTTGGGGATGGGGTTTGGGCGTTTGAAGGAATGAATCTCGGGGAAGAGCCACAGTCCGAAAATGGAGAATTCTACTCACTGTGCCTAAAATATAACATAAGGGAAGAGGATGGCGTCTGTCGCATCAAGAGGCCTTGTCTTGGGAGCGGCTTTCTTTCAGGGATGAAGGATGGGTCCTTCGATAGGGAAGAGAGGAGCTCTGACACAGTTTTTAGCAAGAAAGAAACAGGATCCGAGCGGTGAATTAATAGGACCCATTAAGCTACTGTGAAAATTTCAAGACACTGTCTAAGAGGCTGAGGCAGAAGGGTGGCAGGCTGTAGGCTGGCCCGGCCCGATTAACTTTGCAGAGCCTTGTCTTAAAAAGCACAGGAAGCAGGGAGATGACTTTGAGGGTGGATCGCGGGGGAGTCCCGCTGCTCAGCCATGAGGGGCTGCGAGAGGGGGACCTGCGCAGGACAGAAGCTTCTGAGGACCTGCGCTGAACGGCTGATGCACGGATCTAGCTTGGAAGCTCAGGTGGCTGAACGCAGCGTGGCATCTAAGAGCAGCCACGTTAAGGGGAAAGAGCGGAATCCAGGCAGGCAGTCTGACTTAGAGACGATGCATTTGGTGCAGGATGATGATAACTGTGAGCCGGACATCTCCCCGCGGTCCACAGGAAGGAGACTGGTGCTGGGATCCAGGAGTCATTTACACAGAAGCTGTGAAGCAAACATGTCCAGGAGGGGGAGAGCAGTCCAGGGACCCAATCTGGGGGCTTAATAGGAGCCTCAGCAGAAGTCAAAAGCTGATGTAAAGTTAGGAGGGAAACTTCCTTCTCTCAAGGAGAAACTAGACAAGAAACAATGCTGTCCGCTGCCTGGACCTAAGCCCCATGCTGAGTCACACGTTGGAAATCTCGTTCTGGCCCGAGAAGGAGTCTGTGTGGCCAGGCCTGGGGCAGAGGCCCAGAAGGTGAAGGGCAGTGTTAACAGATAGCACATGGAGTTTCTAACCCTGCGCGGGGGTTTCTAGTGATTGAGTCCATTGTTAAAGCCACCACGGGAAAATCGCTTCCAGAGTGAAACCTGGCAACTGTTGTTCTTTGGCGATTTTGTTTGCCTGGCTTCAGAAGCACTGGCTTAAACGCGCAGGCAGTGTTTCATGAGAACCCTGTGGGGAAACAAAATACATTTCAGCTATCACCAAATGGATACATGTTAGTTCAAATGAACTGCTTTCATGTGCCAAAGACGAGACAGGACTAGCTTCTATCAGTCTGCTCAAAGAGACAGGCTCCTATCGGGTCTGCAAAGCTCCAAACTTACTTGGCCAAGAAGTGTTCCCAAGTCAAAGTGGACATCCCTGCCTCCCAGGGGATGCCAAGCTGTTACTTATTCTGACCTGCGGCCCCTGCATTACGATGGCTATCTTAAAGCACTCACACCTTTCACGACTGAACTGCGTCTTTGAAAAAGTACTAAGGACCCACAGCCCCACAGCTCAGCAAATTCTGCTCACTGAGCAATTATTTCTCACGGACTTTGCTCTATTTCTGTAAAGAATTTACACAGTGTCTTCCAGGAGCTCCTAACAAGCTTTTGAGCTGTGACTCTTGAGACATTTCTCACCACTGGCCCCAAAGCAAGACCTGATTAGCAAGAAAAACAAAGCATCTTCACCCCAGATTCTAAGTTCGAGGTTTTCCCTGTCAGGGTGATGGAAACCATGTTGCAGGGGGAGATGTGTGCTCACAGCAGTCATGAAGAACGTCCCCCGACCTTGCCCACACCTCCTGGGTGGTCCACCTGGACATCACCCAGCAGGCAGCCCCTCCCCCAGGGAGGAACCCAGCTGGCTCCTCCCTCCCAGCCCTCCGCCCGACCAACCGACCAACCGACCAACCGTACAGGCGCTGTCTCCCCCACCAGCCCAGGTCGTCCAGGGCCTGGGTGTCCAGGTGGTGAATAGGCAGGTAGGGGGCCTGCTCCTCTGTCCCTCTCTCTCTCTCTCTCTCTCTCTCTCTCTCTCTCTCTCTCTCTCTCTC